GGGGGGGGGGGGCGGGGATCCAGAGAAAAGACAAAAACCGAACGTGTTCAGTCTGCGTGGATAAGGAGGATCATGTGCTCCTTCCTACCTTGCTGTTTATTTCTATTTCTTTTTTTTTTCTTTTTACCTTTGTGGTTTTATAAGACAGGGTCTCTGTGCTGTCCTGGAACTCAGTATGTGGACAGGCTGGGCTGTTTGCCGAGTGCTGGGTTGAAAGGCGTGCGCTAGCCATCATGTCCGGCTCCTAACCTGCTTTTTAAACATATCTCCTCAAATGAACAAACGAGGCTTTTGGAGCTTTTCGGTAGGAAGAAAATTCTGGACTTAAACAGCCAGGCCGTGTCAGCCATTTACTTGGCATGTAATTCTTCCTATGCTGTTATCATTTTGCAGTTTTTAAGACGTCTTGGGATCAAAGATTCAGAAGGAGACTGTTTTTCCTCATTTGGATGGGCTTGGGTTAGGTCTCTTCCTGGGTTAATTTTGGAGCTGCGTGTGTTACATGGTGCCTACGCAGTTAATAGTCGCTCAGCACCGAGTTCTCTTGTCTTTTGCTCTGTCCTTTTCGAGGACCCATTGCTGTTCTCTGGGTTGCCGTTTCTTTTCTTGAGTATTTTAGTTCTAAATTCTACCTCTTTTGTAGTTTGGAATTCTGATAATTATTTTCCCTTGGCAACTTGCTTTTTCTTTCTGTTCTTAACTTTGGGAATTGCGTACTTTGTGCTGCCCAGTTTTGGTAGTTGTCGTTTCTCTTTTAGTGTCTTGAGAACTGCTTTAGATGCTGGGTGTAAACCCCCCCCCCCATGCCCTTCCCTGAAAGTTCTTTAAAATCACGATTTTAGTGTCTCTTGCTTAGCTTTCTTCAGGTAGGGAGTGGGCGGGTGGATTTCTGTATAAAATGGTGGAAGTGTGAGTGAATGATTAGGTTGAAAGATTGTTAATGCGGGAGAGGAAACCATATAGGCCCTAGATTCAGAGGAAGGGAGGGAGGATTGATATTCTTAGACTTTTAAGAATGATTGTTTTGAAGGTGCTGCAGAAGCATATTTTTTGGCTCTAAAAAGATTTTTTTCCATTTCTTCCTGAGTTTGCACCTGTCTTTCATAGGTTTAGCTCTGTCATTCTTGACCCTGATAGACTTCTCTTACTTGTTTTTAGTTTTCTAAAGCTGTTTTGATTGAGTAGGACTTAGGCTAGACTTGAGGGTGGGATGGGGCAAAAGTACATTTGGGTGTCGCTTTACATGCAGCATTTGCTTATATTTCTTTTTTCACACTTTAGTGTTTTTTTGTTCAGGAATTGATATACTAGTTTTGGAATTCCATGAGTGTAACCTCTCATCCAACTCTTATCTCTTCCGTATGTTTTTACTAACTTCCACTTTGACCTGTTCTTGTGTGCTTCTTTATACTAGTTTTCTTTCATTATGCTCAGAGAATCTATCTTGAAGAAAATGTGTTGGAGGAAAAAAGCATATATAGTGAGAAGGGAACAGAGAATGAGTAATGCAGCCCAAAAAAAATGGAGCTTGGGGACTCTTAGTCATGCCGAGGTTGGAACAAGAGGTAGAACCTGACTGGAAAACATGGGGTTAAATTGAAGAGTAGAGCAAAACTTGGAGGAAAAAAAATGAAGTTCCAGAACAGAGCTTAATAGGGAAAGTCAACAGTTTTACATTAAAGTAAGATGGAGTTTGAAGGTTTCTAGATACTTGTAAAGGAAGTATGGGAACAGTTGGAACAGAGAGAAAGATGGTTTGAGGTGTTTGGACTATCAAGTTGAAAGCAGGCAATATTTAACAATAGCTAATCAGACTTGGAGGAGCTGCAAGCGATGTGGTAAACTTTACTGGGAAGGAAACTAAAATAATAAAGTCACTGTAGTTGGTAGGAGCTATGAATATTTGGAATCGAAGAGGTTCCATGTGAAGTATAAGCTTATGTACCCATGGTTTCTCTGTTTCTGATGTTCTTGCTTGCCTGTAGTTTGGGTATGAGGCTTCATAAGACATTTTAACTAGCCAGTTTACCTATTTAGATACCTAGAACTGTTTAATCCATTTCTTGTTAGTTCACGTTAGCCTAGATATTTATTTCTTGGAGGAGCCTTTGAAAATGGACTGTGGGCTTAAAGGTGCTTCTGATCTATGGTGTTTGTTGTGCCATTTGGAGGACTTGGTTAGTTATGAGTAGTTATGTTCAGAGTGTTGGTGAAGGTACCATTTGTGTGTATTGTGGCCAAAGAAGAATAAAGGGGTAGTGTGGAGAGATTTGAGACAAACTGAATTCTTGTTTGCTTAGGGTATAGAAAGAAAAGGAAGGTACAAAGAAGAATGGCTTATGATTTGGTGAAAGTACATTGTGAGAAAAGGTTTAAAAGTAGTGGTGATTTAGTGGAAAGGATGAAGTGTGGGGAGGATAAAGGGAGGGTTTTGTTTGCAGACTAGTGGAATGAGGAAGCATCGTTTTGCTGATGGAGATTCAGTGTGAGACTTAAGTATTGAACTAAAGGCTAAGAGAGCCAGAGATGTGGTAAGTAGTTAGATTGGGGCCAGGAGCCTGACTGGTGTCTCCCCGCTCCCCCTCAGGAGCGGTGGTGCCCCCCTGGGCACAGGGCCATGTACAACGGGATCGGGCTGCCGACGCCCCGGGGCAGCGGCACCAACGGCTACGTCCAGCGCAACCTGTCCCTGGTGCGGGGCCGCCGTGGTGAGCGGCCTGACTACAAGGGAGAGGAGGAACTGCGGCGCCTGGAGGCTGCCCTGGTGAAGCGGCCTAATCCTGACATCCTGGACCACGAGCGCAAGCGGCGCGTGGAGCTGCGATGCCTCGAGCTGGAGGAGATGATGGAAGAGCAGGGGTGAGGGAATGGGTGGGGAGAAGCCAAGCACTGAGTGAGTGCTTAGCTGGGTGTTAGGTGGGATGTGCGGAAAGAAACTAGAGTAGGTTGAAAGAGTCCTAAAAAGGAGCTGTAAGGGAGAAAGAAAATGAGCTTGAAGAATTGAGAAGAGTCATGGGTCAGTGCATAGTGGGATGTTAAGGAAACTGTTTGGAGCATTAATAGCAGCCTAAGGGGTCTGAATTATTAAGCTGAATTTATGAAGGAGAAGGGGGCCATCAAGGAACAAAAATGTGCTGTATAGGAAAGTAGCATCAGGCAGCAGAGCTAGGTAACCTGACAGGTGTTGTTATTTGGAAGGAAGAGAAAGGTAGGTGGATTTAAGGATTGCGGCCTTGGAAGTTGGCAAAGGCAGATCGGAATTGAAAGAGTATTTGAATTAGAGGATATCATGAGCTTGGCAGAGAAGTGAAGTTTTGGAAAAGGAACATATTCAGGTAGAAACCTGTTTAGAGCAGTGGTTTTCAAACTTGAGCAATGGTATCCTTTTATACATTATGTTTTCTTTGAAGTCCCAGGAAATAAAAGATCTATTCGTGTTGAAGTTGGGAAAGGAGCACTGGGAACTCTGCCAGCAAGGAAACTGTCCTCTCTTGGCCCCTGAATTGTAGCATGTTTAAAATCCACTGTTCTAGAGAGCATAGTGTAGAGAAGGAAGGAGAGTCGTGGGGAAAGATAAGGGAAACTTTTTGAGTGACAAGTACTGTGTGCATGGAGAGGAAAAAGGACCATGTTGGAAAGGAAGCAATTATAAATTGGGACTTGGGAAAACCCCTGTCAAGCTCTAACCTTGAAGGGATTTATCCTTCAGGTACGAAGAACAGCAGATTCAGGAGAAGGTGGCGACCTTTCGACTCATGTTGCTGGAGAAGGATGTGAACCCTGGGGGCAAGGAAGAAACCCCGGGGCAGAGGCCAACGTGAGTGTTGCTCTCCGGAATCTATGCCATTATAGCTGCTGCTATCCTTTTTTTTTTTTTTTTCTTCTCCTGGGACTTGATTTTGCCTTTACTTTTCTTAGTCCAGAGCTCTTTGACTCATCCTTATAATTAAGTTCTGAATTAGGACTCTCACTTTTGTTCCTTGTATATCCTTCAGATTTTGGACTTTTTCACCCCTTCTAGGGTAACTGAGACTCATCAGTTGGCAGAACTGAACGAGAAGAAGAATGAGCGACTCCGTGCTGCCTTTGGCATCAGTGATTCCTATGTGGATGGTAGTTCTTTTGATCCTCAGAGACGTGCTCGAGAAGCTAAACAAGCAGCTCCTGAGCCTCCCAAACCATACAGGTACTCAGGAGAGAAGCCTGAGTCTGCTTCCTTGTTAAAAGAAAGTTCCTACTTTGTTTTTACTAGTATTTTTAGACATTTTTTTTTCCACTTTTCCTGAGACAGGGTCTCACTATGTAGCTCTCTGGCTATCCTGGAATTTACTCTGTAGATCAGGCTGGCTGCCTTCCTCTGCCCTCCTGAGTGTTTGAAGGCCTGTGCCACTAATGCCTTTCCAAAGTGTCTTTTGGTTAAATTTTTGATTTTGTGTTTTGTTCCTATTTATGTTTTTGTACTGTGTGCCTGGTGACCCTGGAGACCAGAAGAGGACATTAGATCTCTTGGTAATAAATAGAGTTACAGATGGTTGAGAATCACCTTGGTGCTCGGAATGGGACCTCAGGCTCACTGGAAAAGCAGCCAGTGTTC